ACCCAAGAAATTTGGAATGAAGACTATGTTGTTGTTCAGATTCTGCAGTTTGCTGCTTGAATATGGAAAGCTTTAATCATTACATGGTAAGTACAGAATTTATTGGTATCATCTTATCTGTGGTCTCGAGCATTTACAATAGTGATCGACTGTTGTATTTAGTTGGACCACACATCCATAGGGACAATGGATGCAGGTCTAGAGCTAGCAGTATAAGTGAAGTACTGCATATAGAGTTCTAAGACGATGAACATAGGTAGAATAGTGAAGCTGGTTTCCTATGCTTCTGTACTATGCTCCAATGTATTGGAGTGGGATACGTTTAGACAATAGTAAGTATATCTTTGAGTAATTCTTTTTCTCACTTTTGATCTGGCAAAATCCTACAGGAGCATCTTTTTATCGTCTGTGAGTTGCTTCGAGCAAACCTTTATGAATTTCAGAAATACAATGAGGAGTCTGGCGGAGAGGTGTATTTCACATTGCCAAGGCTGCAGGTAAGCTTAACTGTTTTCTACTCTTTTGCAGCATGATGAAGATATTTTATAAGGTTAACACACATTTGATATGATTTTAATTTGTTGTCCTTTTCTGATAACTATGCTATGCATCAACTGGTTTGGCTGTAGTACTTGTCCTGTGACAAACATTTGATGTTATCTTTTTGAATAGACTATTATTTAGTCTGCTACTTGTAGGGCATATAAATATTATGCATTCATCATTTGATCGTCTATTAATTTATCTAGTAATAATAAGAAAGCATATGGCATGCTAATAATGATGAAACACTTATGCAGACAGTGATTTGATTTTCTTGAAATTCTTCTTTTTCAGGCTATAGCCTGCCAGTGTTTAGAGGCCCTGGAATACCTGCATAATTTGAGAATAATTCACTGTGATTTAAAGCCGGAGAACATTCTGATCAGGAGCTACAGCAGATGTGAAGTTAAGATTATTGATCTTGGAAGCAGCTGCTTTCAGACAGACAACTTGTGCTTGTATGTACAATCTCGTTCATATAGGGCTCCGGAGGTCATTATTGGCCTCCCCTATGATGAGAAGATTGATATTTGGTCTCTTGGCTGCATTCTAGCTGAGCTCTACAATGGTGAAGTAAGTATTATTTTTCCCTAGCAAAAGATTGTGGGCAGCTTCATTCCTTCTAAACTTAAGATTTTATGATGCCCCCCCCCCACCCCACCCACCCCCACCCAAAAAAAATAAAATAAAATAAATTAAAAAAAATTGTAATCAACCTGATCCTGCCTATAAGCTCGAAAAGGAAATTAAAAGAAGAAAGAAAGAAAATTGTGCAAGGGTATCAGCTCTCAACTTTTCTGTCTCCTAAGACAGCTATGCAAAGATTCGTGATTGTCTAGACCTAACTTTTCATTGGATGAATCGATCCTTTTATATATTATTCAATATTTTCCAGAATTTTCTGTAGTCCTCTCAAAATTTGGTGTTCAAGAACAGAACAACTCTGTATGAACCATAAGTTTTTTTTTGCAACAACAGGTGCTGTTTCCAAATGAATCCCTGGCAATGATGCTTGCTCGTATAATCGGGGTACTTGGTCCTATCGATATGGAAATGCTTTCAAAGGGTCAGGAAACACACAAATATTTTACAGATGCATATGATCTTTATCACAAGAATGAGGTTCATTTATTATCCTCCTCCCTTATTATTTGTGCTGGGAATAACTTGTCCCTGCTATTTTACCGTCCCTAATGCTTGATATGATGTTTCCTTTTGCTTTCACTGAAAGATTAATGAACGATCTTCTGTTTTTTTTTTTTCAGGAGACTGGTCAAGTGGAGTATCTAATACCCGAAAGATCGTCACTGGCTCATCACTTGCAAGTTAATGATTCAGCATTTCTTGATTTCCTCAATTCTTTGCTCCAGATAAATCCCAAGAGGCGACCCACTGCCAGTCAAGCTTTGCAGCATCGTTGGCTTTCAGTTTCTTATTCATGATACTCAGAAATCTGACCAAAGTTGTTTCTTCTCATCATCGATGTGTGCGGTGAAGTTTTGTTGTGTGTACGGATTTTCTGCGAGCTTCTGTGTGAATGTGTTTGTTGCATATTTGTGTGTATGAGTGTAAATATTTACAGGTCCACAAATGCATAGATATCCTTCCCAAGTGTTCATATTTTATGTATGTACATGTTTGCGAGCAATTTTATTTCTGAATTCATATGGTTTCAGAGCGAATGCTATTGTTAACACCCTCGGTAGGAGTTCCTTCTTGCATCGAGTAGGATTATCCTACACAGCACGTCTCATATTGAGAAAAGGGTATGCGTCCGATAGCCTCAATGCAGACATGACGTAAGAAGCAAAATTTGGGAGCTACATTGATTTGATGTATTGTTTCTGCTAGTTTCTATTTCCCGCAATAGATTTATCTAGTGCATTCCAATCGTAATTGCTTCTCTTAATAGGCATCCTATAATGTTGTGCGCAGCGGAAATTTCGGCAGAGTTTCTGGTGCACAATAAGAGAGAAAGATTGATAAGAATTCTTGTTTCTCAAAGGGAACAAGAATCTGAAAGCCTAATATCCCATCAAAGTGGGATATTTGCTCTTCCTCTCGTCAGCTCTAGGACTGCGCGTCGAGGGATCCTAAAACTATTACAATGGCCACAAACTCAAACAATCAATTTTTACGTGGTTCGGCAAACTGCCTACGTCCACGTGGCAAGGAGGGGGATCTACTATTAAAGTGAAAAAGAATACAATAGGTTTACAACTCTCACAATCTAAACCCTCAAATAGGCTCCTTGCTTTTCTTCACAAGAAAAGGTCAGCCCCCAAATTCTTTTTCTCTCTTCACAAAACTCTCCTCGGGCTGCAAAGTTTTCTCCCTTCTCTTGCAAGCCTGCAGCCGTCAAAAGAGTCCCTGCACCCCTCACTTCGCACTCCTAAACCCTAAGAACCATCGTGTATATATAAGATCCAATCGGGTGGACCCAAAAAACCGCTGAACAAACCGCTTGCACCGCATCAAAGCTTTAACCAATGGGTCTTCGGGTGGATCTTCACATGGGTGATCTCTTCACGTGAGTTTGTGGTCCCCACGTCCCCACGTCCGTTTCTCCCACACACACCGCCCAACATATAATAGATCCTAGTTTACAAAATATTAATGATGCATCAAAAATCAAAAATATTAATAATGCATTAAAAAAATATCAATCATTGGATCAGTAGACTTGAACAGTGTAGGCTAGACCACAAATATTAAATACAAGAAACAAAAAAGTGTGAGACTCTTTACTAACTCATATGTTTTGAAAGGAATTTATGGGGAAGGACCCGCACTTTTTGCATAAAACTAGTAAAAGATTTAGAGTTCAGTTAGTATTAATCCTTTTGTTAAACTCGTGGTTTATACACAATTTAGGAATGTTTTCGTTCTACATCAAACAGCCCTCACACAACTCTACTCCAATGCTAAAACATCG